CCCACAACATCCAGCTCAGTATCTACCTCTGGCATCAGCAATACAGGTGCCAGCTTAGCTCAAAGTTTTCAGTGTTCTGCTGAAGAGTGAAATACTAACACAGGGCACTGGACTGGTACTGCTGTTTGATCTGAGCTTGCATGAACTGCGGTGGAACTGACCTTAGAATTACTGGTTTTGAGTTGCCTTCACGTATGCTGTCTCTCCCTTCGCAGTCTTACAGAGACTTACACAATTATTGCAAGTTAGAGCTGAGGCCTCTTTTTTATATCCCAGGGGAAAGCATTGGGGTCATAATGGAAGTTGAAATTTGCCCTCCACTATTGCATGTGTAATTTTGCTTTGCTTGTATAAATTATGATGCAAAGAGAATCCTTTCAAGTATTGTGCACGGAGCTGGTAGATTAGACCTGCTTGTCAACCACATTCGACATTTTCATTCTCTGTCACAGCCTGATCTAAGTATCCAACTTCTTAATTAGGTTTTGGATAACTTCCAAGATTGGTGCTTGATGTCCAATTATATCTGCAGTAAAATGGCACTTAGACGTAGCTAGCACTTCCAGATAAGAACTTCCCATGATCTGGTAGAAAAATTCAGAATCAGGATATTATGAAATACTTTGGTATCAATAAAACAGAAGAACTCAGTGAACATGTTGATAAGGTGTCTTTGCTGACTTTCTGTCCTGAAATAATTTTAAGTGTTTGGGCTTCGTTTTACCCTTGGCAGAATTTTACTGTCACCACAATGTCCTGTCTTTAGCTGTGCAAAATGCCCAGGAGTTTAAGTGCCGTAAAGACTTCACAGCATCGGCAGGTGCTTCCGAAGCGACCTGTGATTCTTAACAGTGAGTATGTGTGGGTCAAATTCTGATACACAACATCATTGCGGTTAGTAGCAAAACCATCTTGATTTCTGCTGGTTGCAGAATTAGGTGAGTGCTAAGCTCTGCTGAAGATGGTACACAGGTATCATATCTCTGCTATCAGAGGCACAGGCAGAGTTTTTCTTGCATTGTGTTTCGTAGTGGTGAGCATATTCAAGGTGTTTAGTAAATAATCTTTACTTTTGGTAGATGAGACTTAGGTGAGCTCCAGAGGTAAGAATACATGTAGATTAGAGGTCATACCTTTCTGAATTGACAGTTCTACTGCTGAACACTGAATTTCCCTGGATCAGCACTACTGCAAACTCTGAAAGGACTAATGAAAAGTGGGTCCTTGCCAGGCATAGGACAGCACTACAGTGGCTGTGTTGTACTGTCTGAAGGATCTGGTGCTGCATGTGGAAGTGTCATGGTGTGCAGTTTACATGTATTCTGCTGCTATATGTGCCCCAGAGGACCCAGATAATACTGTAATTGTGGGATGTGAAGAGACATTATGAGTTACCGGTGTGTGGGCAGGAAACACAGAGCATTCCTTGCAGGTGATGGAAATGTGCCTCTGCTGGGAAAGTGAGCCTTGTTGAAGTTGTCTCCAAAATTGAAAAATCAGACTGAGGCCCTGTTGGGATTGTCCACGTGCCAAACTGCCGTCTTTTTCTACCTGGCTTTCTGCAAGTACCTGAAGTCTCACAAAGTCACGTCCTATTATTTGTCAGCTGTGAATCGTCATTTCTTTTGACTGGCTAAATTGAGGAGCAAGGTGCAAGGAGAGTGACCATTGTTAATCAGTGCAGATGGATTGAAGTAGTGAGGCACTTTTTATCGCTAGCGTGTGAAACCAACTTGACAGCAAATGGCAGTCTTATGGATCTTCTTCTTGTGTTCCTGAAGGGAGCCATCTTCCTCTTTCCATTGCAATTTTTGAAGTCTTTATTGCTGTAAATCCAGCAGGCACCGAATAAGAAAATGTAATACCCACAAAGTTCCCTGCAATGTAGCGACCAACAGATATTTGACATGTATTATGTCTGTTACACAAAGCTCCCCCTCTCTTGCATGAGTGATTAAGGAGAAGCTGGACATCCAAAAGAGCGGCTCACTCCTGCCTTAGGTATCCTTGGGCCATTTTCCTACCAGGCTGGCAGTGGAAGTAGAAGAACTACAGGGGTTCACCATCATCTGAATCCAGCAGTTTGGGTTCACATCTCTGTGGATAGTGGTCAATATCCTGCTGCTTCCACAAAAACTGGTAGTTTTTCATGCACACTCTGGCAAAGAACTTTGTGTGAATGGAGACCAAAGAACTCTCCTGTCCCTCCTGATGGTCCACCAGTTTGGAGTGGAGACCTTGATGGTCTCAGCCTTGCTGGTTGCTCCAGGTCAGAGCTCAAAATGAGGAGGTGGGCTTAGTTGACCTAAAAACTCTCTTGCTGGGGCAGGAGGGAACAAAGCAGGCTGGTTTCAAAACCCTGCCTCACCCTTCCCTGGGTGGTGTGGGCCAGGAGAAGGGAAGGTCGCATAAGGTAGTTGGCAGAAGCTGGGAAGTGCATATGGGAAAGATGCTTTGTTTCTGCCGGCAGTTGCCTCCGCTGGCAAATGCAGCAGCAGGTAGGGCCCTGGTGGGGGGTGAAGGAAGGGCTGTGGCCATAACCCCTCAGCAGGCTTTGTCTGCCATGCAGATTAGATAGAGGGCTTTTCTGGCTCAGCGTTGCTAGGCTCTTCCCCCCTATTGACTTGGTGGAGAGGCTGAGGGGGGTGGGAGGGAGGGACTGCATTATATTGTTTCTTTGAGTTGTTTTTTTCCCCCCCTCTATGGGGAGATGGGCTTGATCCACTGGTTTTGGATTTCAGAGGCAGAAGGCAAGACATGACCAGCTGGTGTCTTGAAATGGCACAGGTGCAATGGCTGCGGGAGGGGGGAGCCAGGAATAATTACAGGTTTCTGAAGCATCAGGCTTTGCCTGAAAAGGGCTCATCGAGAAACTGCTCTTTATGGAAAATTAATGGTGAAGCTGGAAAAAACTGTCAGGCCCACTATTGTTGTCATGGGGTAGTGATGCCTTAAAGGAGCAGCACCTCCTGCTCGCCTCCACAGGCAGCCCAGGGCCGGCGTGCAGCTTTCTGATCCCACAGCAATTGAAATTTCATGTCACTGTCATCAAATTTAATGGCCTTGAGTCCCTGTCTCTCTTTCCCCCCACCCCCTTTCCACCCCTCATTTGTGATTATGCTTGCTTTTATTTCAATGCTTTTATTTATTAGGCCCCTAAACCTTTTTCTGCCCCACTGGGTGAAGACTAAGTGGGCCAGAAAGCCCAAATTACGTGATGTGGGGAATTCAAAGGCATCGCCTCTTCTGGTGGTGAGGGTTATTCCTGAAAGATCATGGGGCACATTGGAAAGCTGCTTCCAAGACATGTTAGAATTCATGTGGGGACCTCACCATCTCAGAAGGACACTTCAGAAAGAAAACCGTAAGGTTGCTTAGGGCAGGTACTGATAAGTGTCCCACCTCCAGGCCCATATGCAGCAGACACAGTGTACATATAGTGTCATGCCTCTGAAAATAACCTACGTGCTCAAGTATAGCATGTCGCACTTACATCTGTTGCTGCTCTTTTTCGTTTTGTCCAAGTCCATCTATACAGCTCAGGTCTATAATGAGCCATTATTTTAAAAAGAAACTGGCAAGTTCTGTTGTGAGCTCTCAAAGTCAGCCCACCGCGCTGCATCTGCAACCAGCAACCAGCAGTGCTGCTTCCTGGGTACGCGGAAAGTAGAATCTTGAGTTACCTGGCAGCTCCTAGAGAGCTGTGCGTGAGGCCTCTTTACGCCCCCGGTGATGGGACCTTTGTACCCAGATGGCAGCAGTCTCTCTGTCTCCTCTGGGCATACAAAGCTTTTGTTTCTGGATCAGATGCTGGACTCTCCAGGTTGAGATGTACTTGGGTCGCCAGCTCCCATAGGCTCAAAATTTTTTGCCTGAAATCCCTTTATTAATATCTCTAGAAGTGTTCTCTGAGGCATAGTTTTTAGAGGTATCTAAAAAGCGTTACTTAGAATGGCTCATTCTCCAAGTCCTGTAAAATCACAGTAGCAGTGTTAAACCAGCTAGCCTTTCAGGTAGCAAGAAATGAAAAATAGCGCTAATAAACTCCATTATAGGCCCCTGAAACTACAGCAGGTGGTTTTCTATAAACAATAAAAGTTTATAATATTGATTATGGAGAACACTGGGCAGTGTGATGGTACCTGGAGGGTTTACTGGGGCTGGGTCAGGGCACCTCATAATAAGGTACATTCATGTAGGAGGCTTACCCTATCTTTGTGCTGATGATCACTGCTGTGGAGATGCAGGAACACATTTTTATGTGGCAGCCTCTTTGACTGCAAATTCACTGAGTTATTAATAAGATGTGTGCCTGTGTTTGTGTGCAAGTCTGGTAGCCCCATTTGACCAAATGTGCCAAAACCCCTCTAAAACTGACAGTAGGTCCCTTTTTTCTGTCACATCTTTCCTTCTTTCAGGCCCTTTAAACAAGATGTGGTGTCACTGGAAGTTTTTCTTGTCTTCTTTCTTAAAATGCTATGCTTCAGAACTGTGCCGTTTTTAGGAACAGATTGGGCCCCAGCCAGCTATGCAGGGTTAAATTTGGAGTGAAAGTTAATGTTTGTGAGAGAAGAGGAAGCAGCTCTTTGGAGAGGTGGCTTTTTGTTTGTATGTGGCCAGACAGATGGTGCCATTAGGATAGTTTCACATGGAAATGAATGTTTGCCAGATTATACTTAAAATTGGGGAGGGCCTGATATCCATGGGACAAGGTACAGACTTTGATGAAAATATAGTTGATGCTTTCTGGCTGTAATATCTTCTTCACTTCTGCCATAATATCCGCTACCGTATGTGGATATTCCCACGCTCTGTCTCGGAGCAGCATCAAACGAGTGCCAAATCCTTGTCTCCCAAAATGTGACCATCTCACGAGAAGGTGCCGGTGTGCTTGAGGGCTATCTCTGACCGACTCTGGACCGCGCCATTCTCCTGCCCTAGGCGGGAGCTATGCCTTGATCTCTCTCTAACAGTGGTTTCTCTCCCTTCCCCTCCTGCAGACATGCCTGGAGTTGGAGCGATACCTTCAGACTGAACCACGGAAGATCTCTGAGACCTTTGGTGAGGAGTTGGACTGCTTCCTTCATGCCTCCTCAGCCCCAGATGTGGAGGACAATATCCGGCGGCTGGACCCCGTCCTTTTACCAGTGGAGACAAGTACGTGTGACAAAAGTGCCAACATGGACATTATCCTCTCACGGGACAAGCTGCTGTCTGAGACATGCCTCAGCTTGCAGTCCACCAGCTCTTCCACAGAAGGCTACACAGCTGTCAACCAGGCCCAACTCAATGCAGTAACCTCATTAACACCCCCTTCCTCTCCAGAGCTCAGCCGCCACCTTGTAAAAACCTCACAAACTCTCTCAGCGGTTGATGGCACAGTGACGTTGAAATTAGTGGCCAAGAAAACTTCAGTCAGTTCCATGAAAGTGGGTGTAGCAACAGCGACCGCAGGGACAATAAAAGGCGGGCAAAGTGACAGTGAACAAGGAGGTACAGGGGCAGAAGCATCCCCAGAAAACAAGAAGAGGGTTCATCGCTGTCAGTTTAATGGGTGCCGGAAGGTTTACACAAAGAGCTCCCACTTAAAGGCTCATCAGAGGACTCATACAGGTACTTGTGTAGGATGCTTCTCTCATCTTGTCCTCCCGCCACCTAACTGTAACATCTCCTTTTGTTCTCATTTAGAAAAAAAAAGAAAAAAGAAAAAACACAAACTATTCTGAAAGTCCAAACTTCTATCTATGAAACAGGGCAGTGGAAAAATATGGTAGGCCAGCAAATGTACCTATTATTCAACAGAACAGAGGAGTTCACCATCTGTGGTTAACCTGTTGGGACTGCATATGTCTTATGGGGCTCGATGCACAGCAATTTTATGATACCTAAGGGATGTAGATGTATCATTCATGTTAAAACTGTGGGCATGCCAGTTTGGGTTTTCAGCACTCATTTCCCCAAGACAACTTTAAAAATGTTAATCTTAGTCAAGTGTTAATTGCCTGAAATAGAAAACAGTGTGGGTAGGGTTTTTGGGGGGGGAGTGGAGGAAAGAGAAGAATGTATTTCAAATCTCAGATACGTGGTGTATGAATAATGTGTGTGTGAGAGAGCATGTGTGTAGATGCAGACGCGCAGCCATGCAGATGCGTGTACCTTTGAGATACTACAATCTCGGACTTCCCTGGTGATAAAATACAGCAAGAACAAATAAAGAATGACATGGAATTTGAATTGAATAGTGTAGGTAGGGAGGGAATAGGATGTATGGAAAGATGTCAGGCTGTTATTTTGAGTAGTATTTACTAATTTTGCATGTAGGCTTCACTGTGTAAGCTTCTTGAAGTGTACTGAATTGGCTAGGTTTGGCTGTTCAGGATCCTCACTCTCCTGTCACTTGTTTATAGTCTCCAGTAGCTTTTTGGCTGGTATTCATTAGTGGTAATAGCTGTGCAGTTCGCACCCATTGCTGCTTTGTTCTAAGCTTCACATGTGATGAGAGATGATAAATTCCCATTAGCACTGTCTTATCATGTGATTATTCTTGTTTCCAGAGGGACTGCTGTAATCAATTCTCTCAATTTTACTGTAAAATGTGTGGTCCCTTACGATAACTGCACATTTAATTCACGATCTTATCAGGCAGGCAGATTCCTAGAAGCAAAGTTGCTCTTGCAAGGTAGAAAATAACATGTTGGACCAGGGCAGTAAATCAAACAAATGTGTGGGTTGTTAAGAGAGCTGCATCCATCAAATACTAGGCAGGCCCATAAAAGTTACAGGGTCTGAAGTATAAATCATATTAAGACATAAAAGGCATTGGGTTTGATCTTTTTAAATGGGCTTTCTAGTGCTTTTACTGGGGATAGCTGCCATGCCAGGAGTGACCTCACTTGTGATCCAGTGAATTGAGGGCTAGTGACAGTAATGCAGTTGTTTTAAAATCTTCAGCAACATGGTTTGGAGGTTCCTTGTCATACCAGTGACACTGTGACGCTGGCCACACCGGGGCTGTCCAGGGTGCCATCCCAGCCAAGGCCTTCCAGCAAGTGATGGGGCTCCCGTGAAGGAACAGTAGGTGGGGATGTGGACAAGGAGTCATGAGGAAGCACTTAAAAAAAATATTGCTGTTTCAATACCTCCACCTTTTGGAGTCAAAATCTTACAGGATTTTGCATGCTTTTGAACTCACCTTTATGTCTGGTTGAATTTTGTACCTGAGATCAAAACCTTTCGTCTTGGTAACACCTCCTTATACCTGACCACATCTACACCTGCCATGTAGAGAGCACATTTCGTTTTGCAATGAGGACTGGGTGCGGACTTGTTGTTAAAGTGTGCCTTTGATGAAAGACCTGGGAGCAGGTGGGCACCTGGCTCTCATTTTTCTCTGTGGAAAGCAGACTGTCTAAATATCTTTTACATCTTGGGAGCAATCTGAGTGAATTGAGCGGAGGGGTGTGATAGGCTTATCTAACTAGCTTATTTGAGTCTGTCGTGGGTTAGGGCTGGGCCGGCCACTAAAACATGGACAGACACTCTCTAACCCCCTGTCCTCCCTGAAACGGGAAGGAAAAGGGAATGAGTCAGAGAGATTTATGGGTTAGAAAACTAGAACAGCTTTAATGAAACAATAATAGAGATAATAGTGAAATGATAAAAATAAAGAACTATATAAGTATATATAAGTCCAATATCGAACCCAACTCCTCTCCAATAGCAATACCTGCTGATGCTGCAGAGCAGGCACCACCAGGGAAGCTCCAGGCTCAGCAGCAGCGTGGAGCTACAGGAGCTGGATTCAGGAACTCAGGATCAGGATCAAAAGCCGGAGATCAGATGCAGTCCACCCTGGATGCTGGCCGTTGCAGAAAGAGAGAGAGAACTAAACTCTTGTGATCACTCAATTTACATTGAATATGACGTATATGGAATGAAATACTCTTATTGGTCATCTGTCCTGTCTATTACTCCCCAGAGGTGCAACCTTTTACTTCCTTGTGACCTCTCTCACCACCCGGCACCCCCAGCGTGGCACACAAGAGCCAGCAGTGGCCTTGGTCACTACAGGAGTAAGTATCAGCAAGAGCCTTTCTGCATCCCAGTCCCAGGCAGTAACTGTGAACATCAGGTGTTATCACCGCCAGCAGCACACACTGTCTGCAAAAACATGCTGCTGACTTCAGAAAATGCAGCCTTTGAGAAGAGACTGAACTGGAGAGTTAAAAATGACTAAACAGAATTGGTTTCGTTTAGCTCAAGCCAGAACAGTCATTCAGCATAAAGTCATTCAGACACCTTCATCCTGCTTAAGTGCTCTGTTCCCTTAAAACGTACCAACCAACTGACCGACCAATGGTTAGATGCCTTAAATCAGAGCTGGTACAATCAAGCCATTAAATCTGCTCATGCTGACCTCCGCAGGGGGGTTTCCCCACAGGGAGCTTCTGCCTCTGGTGAAAGAGAGGGACGGAGGGAAATAGCTATGGAAATTCAGGACTGAATTTTAAATGGCAGGGCTCGCTCCTTTCCCAAGCACGCCTTCAGGGCTAGGTACAAGAAGCCCTTTTCTTCATCCGTACTTTGTTCTTCTCAAGCTGTGAGCGAGTGTGCGCTGGGTTGCAAATGCACCCATCAGTGCCAGTGGCTAGTAGCCACCTCTGAGCCAGAGGGTCTGAAATGATTGCAAGATATTTTCCTTTGGCTGGTGGTTTGTTAGTATGTCATGCAAGAGCCGTGTGCCAGTGCGGGCTCTGTATGAAAGGGTGTGAGTGCCCAGACAGACAAAGAGCTCTCAGTGTGGGGTTCACAGGCAGGGAGGCAAATGTGGGCTGGTCACCCAACTTGCACGTGCAAAGTTCACTTGCTGGATCAAAGGGATTTACTGCCCTGCGTGAAAACAAGAAAATCATGGGCTGGGGAGCTGCGGGGTGGAAGGCGGCGGAAGGAGGTTACATTCCTTTCATTCTATGTAAGGCTGACCAGACGCTGGCGATCCTTGCTGCTGTGTGATGAGCCAGGCTGGGCTGGAGGCAATACAGACCGATAGCAGCTTACTAGGCTGGAGACGATCTTCTCTTAGGGCTTTACTTTGCCGGGTTGCCCAGAGACAGTCAGACCTTCCACTGCACTTGGTGCATCCCCTACATTACTCTCCCACTTCTCATCTGTCAGAGAATTAGGGCAGCGGAGTAAGGCCCATCAATGGTTGAACTGGTTATGAAACCACCTTCTGGATGACCTTTGGAGAGGGAAAAACAATCATCTGTGTGGGAGAGAATTTAATCTGGAAGAGAAAGGGAAAAACATTGTCTGGATGGAAAGGGAAATTGAAATATTTGACTGAATTCAAAGTAAGCTGGGGCATCTGAAGTGAAGGGTGTGTAAAGTAACTAAGAGCAGCGGTGAGACTGAGACTGACTGTCAGAGGGCAGCAAAGAAGCCATTCTTGGGAGACATAGCAGCTGGGCTTGTAAACAGGAGGAAGAGGTGAGCTATAGCTTTGGAAAGACCATGCTGCCAGTGTGAGGGTGAGGTACAAGCATCTAAAGGAGCCACCAGGACTGGCACAGTCATCTAACCCTGGCACATTCTCTCGCAGTTACTCATGGAATGGACATCAGTGCAAACAATGACATTTTGTCTCTTTTTGAGAGACAGAAATTTTCATCCAGCCTTCACACATGCATGGAGATGAATTGCCAGTACAATTGAGAGTGGAGATGGGAGATTTCAAATGAGCCAAAACCCGTATATAGTCTTTAGTACTTCCTAAGTTAGAAAACAGGCTATTGCTGGCAAATGTCTGGATGCAAATAAGTCTAAGGATGTACCGGCCTGTAACCTGTGGAAAAATTAATCACAGGACATGGCTGTGTCTCCCAGATCAAAGACCTCTGGAGAAGATTTCTGTCTCTTGGCAAAACCATTCATATCAGACTTCCTGCAGTAATGTATAGGGGAAGGTATGAGATGGCATGGGTACTTTCTGGCCAGAGATAAAGCATCACGTACAAACTGACCAGGAAATCCGTGAGATTGGGATAGCAATAAAAAAATAGACCTTAGGGAGTTCTTCTGTGGTTTGGATTTTATGAGTATCACAAAGTTTTGTGTTTTTTTTTTCTTTATCCATCTAAATCCAGGATCCGATACAATCTAAGCTCAAGTCTGAGAAACGGCAGTTGGGCACCTCACGTCTATATTTACATTTGTAAAACCTAAACAAGAGGGAAATACCCATGTAAATAGATGTTATGGGTCTACATGTGATCTTAAGATAGCACTTATTTAAGTGGAGCTTGTTTCACATTGTCAGTACATCTTATTTTAAATTATATAGTTCTTTGATCCAAACTGCTGGGTGAGAGTAACTAAAACAAACAAATCCACCCTGCAGGAAAACAAATTACTACATTTGCAAGAAAGACGAGAGACACAACAGTATTAGGAAGAACATTAATGAACAGGAAGTTTTTTTGAGATGGGATTTAAAACAACAGAGAAGAGTTTTCCCGAAGTGTTGGAGATAGAAGAGGAACTGTCCAGACTTTGGAAATGATCAGAAAAGACCAAACTGAGGAGAGTAGGCTGGATGATAGGTAAAGAAGATT